CCCCCCCCCGCACGTTACTGGGCACCTCCCCCCGTTGCTAAGCACCCACTATTCCTGAGATCCGGGTCCGCTAGCGCCGGGGCCTCTTGCACTTCCGGGAATCTCCACACGCACGCCCCCTCCGGTCAGCTAGCCAATGGCAGAGCAGTAGCTCCCTGACTGGCACGTAGAACGCCCGCCGTGAGTGAGGGGCGGAACTAGGGGCGGGGCCGATGGGTGGGCGTTGGAGCCTGCTGGGATTGTTGGGGCACCGCTGGAGCGCGCACGTGCCCTTTTATGCTGTTCCACTCATCTCAGAGTGCCATGTGCTTGGCAGACCTTTCTCTCCCCCACACCGTCTTTTTTGCAAACATCCCTTACAAACTCCGCATCCCTGCTCTGCACGAACATCTTGCCAACGTCCCTTATTTTTGCCCCCGGCAGGCAGGCGGGATGTCTCCTTTGAACACATCTTCCCAGCAAACATTTCCCTTGCCCCGGGAGCCCCTCCACTTTGCACATCCATCCTCTGCTTCAAACACTCACATCCTGGCACCCAGCCTCTTCCCCTGCACAGATAAACCCCATGTCTTGCTTGCCAACTGTCTCCTTCTCATACTCGCAACTCTCCTGTGTACATAAGCCCCCTCAGGCTCAGCCCCTTGCACACTGGGCCCCTGTTCTCTCACACACCCTTCTCTCTCTCCACTCCCCGCCCACCTGCGGGATGGTGAGAGTGGGAGCCCTCTGTTTCCTGTAGGCCTGACATTTCCCAGAATACACTCAGCCAAGATTCCCAGTGCTGAGTCAGGAACCCTGGCATCCCCGAAAACCAGCTCCCAGTCCATCTGGGTGTGTGTTAGGGGGGTGGGGGTGGGGATACAGGCAGGCTTGAAGCCTGTTCCCCCCCACAACAGGCTGACTCACCCCTCCTCACAGTCTGGAATAGAAGCAGCTGGCTGGGGCATCTCTCCCACGGCTGGGAGAAGGAGGGATGTGACGCTTCCCTCACAGAAACCACCCCCCTTCTTCCCACTCTCTAACCCCTTTTGTCGGGAATCAGACCTCCCTGTCACTGTGCCTGGGGTATGTGACCTCAAAAGAGCCCTGACTCTTTCTGGACTTCATCTGCCCAGCCCGTATGATTTGTTAGGGGGATCCTGCTATGATTTTTCACTGGTCTGTGAAGAGATGACTCACTTTGGAGCCCTGGGCCTGTGCCCAATGCCCCACCCCCAGATGACTCAGTTTCAAGGCAACCCCCCCCCCCCCCCCGTCACCCTCCAGACGTAAGGGGCTGACTCAGGAGCTGGGTGACAGCTCACCCTTGGGGGCAAAAATACATAAACAGCACCTGTAACAATAATTAGCCCCGCAGGACTGTGGCTGATGGTGCGAGGCCTGGTGCCACGTGGTTCACATTTATGCGGTCATATCAAATAGCCTGGTGGCAACAAGCAAAGGCTAGCTAGAGACTGGCAGATTTCTGAGCCTCAGTGTTCCGTCTGTAAAATGGGGCTGTAGCATCCTCTCTTGCTCTGTGTTAGTGAGAGAAAGAGATGTGGTGAAATAGCATCTGTAATGAGGTTGGCATAGGACCCGGGACAGAACAAAAGCTCTATACATGAGGGAAATTTCTTATGGAAAAGTCATTCTTTCCAAAATGTCTATTAAGCACTAATCACGTGCTTTTCTGGGGGGACACAAAAGGAAAGGTCCAGGCAAAACTATTTGCCCTCTGGGTGCTGACTCCCGATGAGGGGGACAATATACAGAATAAATAAGTCTATTTGATAAGGTGACATGTGTTAAAGAGAATAAAAACCAGGGAAGGGAGGCAGGGAGTGGAGACAAAATTTTGAGTTTAAACAGGGTGATCAGGGAAGACCTCGCTGAGCAGGTAACATTTGAACAAAGACCTGAAAGAGGTGAGGGAGAGAGCTATTGGAATATTTGAATGAAGAACATTCCAGGCAGAGAGAACAACCAGTGCAAAGTCCCTGTGGTGGAAAATAGCTCAGTGAAATAGCAAAGAGGCCGATGGGCATAGTGAGTGAGGGGGGAAAGACAGAGGAGGGGAAGTCTGGGATGTAACCAGGGCCAGATCACTCAGGGTATATAGTGAGGCACAGCACGGACTATAGCTTTTACCCCAAGTGGGATGGGAGCCGTGGAGTGTTCTGAGTAGAGGGGGACATGATCTGATTTAGAGGAAATAACTCTTAACTTCTGGCTCTTTCTCCAACACCTATAGCCTTACACCCTGTAGGGAACCAAAGCCCAGACTTTAGATGAAGTGGCCTTGAACTCAACTCTACACAACTTAGATGTGTGATCTTGAACTCACTGCTTTGTCTTTCCGTGCCTCGGTTCTCCTGTTTGTGCAAGGGAAAATGATGATCCCTACCTCACAGGAGTTGGGGTATAGTCAGGAACAGAACCTGGCTGTACAAAGCAAGTGTACACATGTAAATGTTGTTATAAATAAGTGAAAATTCCCGTAACAGTCTTGTGAGAAAACTATCAACGGTAACCTTTATACGGATGAGAACACTGAGGCTCTGAGGAGACAGGATTGTGGGGAAAGATTACCCCACAAGTGAGTGTTGGAGCCAGGATTTGAAACCAGGCATCCTCACTTCGCCTTCAGATAAGTTCTTTTCATTTCCCCGTTAAAAACGTTTGGCTCTTGTGGCACTGAATACACGTTTTCTGAAACAGTAAAACATTACAGGTAAAATGAGTAATAATATTACTCATGGTACAGGTGAGAAAATTGAGCCTGTGGCTGGGACAAGGGGGGGGGGGGACATAAGTCACACACTCAAGGTAACACTGCTGGGAAGTGGCAGAGGCGGGTCTCGAACCCAAGTCACTAGAATTTCCAAGTCCTTTGAAAGTCCATCCTTGCCCCCTTTGAAGGATGGGCGCGATGCCAGATTCGTCCCCGAGGGCTGCAGGCAGGCTAAACTGGTCATTCGAGGGTGTAGGAAGATCGGACTTGTTGCAGGGGTCCAGGAAGGGATCCCACCCGCTCGCAGCCAGGAGCCCAGAACCCCAAACGCAAACCGCACGAGCATCCAGCGCTCCGAGCCCACCCTTCTACAGTACCAGTGGGCGGGGCCCGCCGAGGCCCGTCCCACTTTCGTCACGTCCGGTGGGGCGGGGCTTCGGGGCTTTCCCGGGGCGCGGGGGAGGGAGTATCGGTTAACCCCTGCGTGGCCGGGCCGGCTGGAGCTCCGCGGGCCGGAACCCGGGAGTCGGGGCTCCCCAGCCACACCCCTCGCGGGATTTAAAGGGGAAGGAGGGGCCGGGTCGGGTCGAAGCCCGAACCCAGGGAGCGGGCATGAGGCGCTGCCCGTGCCGGGGGAGCCTGAGCGAGGCAGAGGCCGGGGCGCTGCCGGGGGCGGCCCGCATGGGGCTGGAGGCGCCGCGAGGGGGGCGGCGGCGACAGCCGGGGCAGCAGCGACCTGGGCCCGGCGCAGGGGGCCCGGCGGGACGGCCGGACGGGGGCGGGCCCCGGGCCAGCAACGAGGGGTCCGGCCTCTACAGCGAACCCGAGAGGGTCGGCCTTGGGCCTGAGCCGGGGACAGACGGACAGGCTGAACCTGGAGCAGCTGACCTCGGAGCGGAGACCGAGCGGCCCGGCCCAAAGACAGAGACGGACCTATCTAGCCTCCGGACATATCCAGAAAGGAGCAGCCACTGGTCAGAGCCCGAGACAGCCAGTCCCTGGACGGAATCTGGGACGGATGGCTTTTGGACTGATCCACACAGGTCTGACCTCCAGTCTCAGCCAGAGAGGGCCAGCCTATGGGCACAGCCCGTGGTTGATGGGCCCTGGACAGAGATAGAAATACGTGGGTCCCAGACCCAACCAGAAAGGGCCAAGACCTGGGCTGATAACCTTTGGACCCTTAGGAACAGGTCCGGCCTCCGGACTGAGCTAGAGGGGGCCTGTCCCTCAACAGAGCCAAGAGCCGATGGCTCCTGGAAAGACCTGTGCACTGATGGCTCCCAGATACAACAGGATACTAAAACAGCCTGGAAACAGGTTGGCACTGATGGTTTCCCAGCACAGCAAGATGCTGTTGGCTCCTGGACACGGCCTGGCACTGATGGTCCCCAGGCACGAGATACTCACGGACCCCAGACAGAACCTGGGACAGACTGCCTTTTGGGGGAGTCCAAGCAGGATGTCCCATTAGAGGAGCCAGACCCCGGGCAGCTGGGGGCGCACCTGTACTCTCGCCTGGAGTATAGCCCCCTGACCCCTGTACCCCGCCTCATCATCACTCCTGAAACACCTGAGCCTGAAGCTCAGCCAGTGGGACCCCCCTCCCGGGCTGAGGGGGGCAGTGGCGGCTTCTCCTCTGCCTCCTCTTTCGACGAGTCTGAGGATGATGTGGTGGTGGCCGGGGGCGGAGGTGCCAGCGACCCCGAGGACAGGTCTGGGGTGAGTGGGAACCGTTCTGCTCTTGAGCCACATTCCGCCCCCCCCCCCGCCCCCTTACCTTCCTGCCTTTGCTTTGAGAAGTTTTTTAGCGCCCACAAGCAGGTTTATCTCCAGGTACCTCCTCCCTCTGACAGCCAGGTGACCGACCCACTCCAGGCATCTTCCTGATCCTTTCCTTTCCTCCTTGCACACTGCCTCCGGTCCTGGGGTCTACAATGGACAGCCACGGGCTGACTTAATGGTGCCTAGGAACTCCTGTAAGTCTGTGTGTGTTTACACATATATTTTTGAAGCAACCATGTCTGATTTCTGTCGGATGCTCTAGAAGAGCACAAGTAAAGGAGGACAGAAAGTTTTTACCCTGAATCTTTAAAAAATATTTGTATGTATTTTGAGAGAGAAAGAGAGAGAGCGTGCATGCAGGGGAGAGGCAGAGAGAGAAAGAGAGAGAGAATCCCAAACAGGCTCAGCACCGTGAGATGATGACCTGGGCTGAAATCAAGAGTCGGACATTTAACCGATCGAGCCACCCAGGCGCTCCTTTACCCTACATTATTAAGGCACTGTGGCTGCCTCAAGGGGTCATGAGCCTTTGCCATCCTTTAGTACTCATTTTTGTAGGGAGTGAGCCCCCAGATTCTCAGAGGGCTGTGTGAGCCCCAAGTGCTGAGGTCCCCCGGCTTAGCCAGGCGCCCTCTGGTTTCACCATGGGCCCCCAGCTCCCCAGGGGCCCCCTGCACACTCTTGTTTACATCCTTCCCCTCCCCCC